TCCCCCCCCCCTCTCTCTCTCTCTCTCTCTCTTTCTCTTTTTAATTGGTATTCAATTCGCTTAATTTCGAGATTCGTCGATATCAATGTACACGTATTTCTTCGTGTATTTCCAGGGTGTTGTGTTCGGTGTTCCTGCCATAATAATAACATTAAAAAGTGCAAGAAAGCTTGTAAGTCTATATAATGTATATGTGTCAACTTAAATGAGCGGGAATTATCATTATGATTATAATCACCATATCAAATTATGATTATACAGAGTGTTTAACCTGTATATTAGATCATTCGTTGATTGTTTTAAAGTTTTTGTTTGCATCTTTGACTATGGCAGCAGATGCTGTGCTCCTCCCCAACATGACTTTTGTCAGTTAACCATCGACACTACCGTTTCTTTCGTTTTACTTTCTTCATTTTAATAATTCTTCTCTGATATAATAGGGATAATCTGCTTCTGATTTACGTACGCTGTTTGTTGCTTTAATTGATACACGTACTTCTGAAATGGTAGACAAAAGTCAACCGTTTGCCTGAAATGCATTTCAGTTTTAATGCATAGGTTTGTTTAACATCCGTGCATGAATAAATGTAATCATGCAACGCAGAATAACGAGTTTTGTCGATTTTGTTTAATTGATTGTGCTCGTTTTGAATTTTGATGAAAAAAAAAATGCCTTCGTTCTCAGGCTTTGCTGTGGTGCGCCGTGGCCATGACGGTGGGCATTATAGCCATACTTGTAGACATGACCACTGTACAGACGTTACCTGTAGAGTAAGTACGCGTTATGATAAAAGAGTGAAAGCGGACGTTCCAAGATATACTTCACATGGTTATCGTTTGATTTATCAATTATGGGTCACTTTTTGTTAGCGTTATGTATGTTGACGATATATCATAACGTAGCCGGGCCAAATATGTTGTTTTGATTTAAATGTTGATTTTCGTAATTTTACTGTGTTGAAAGTCACTTCATTGACATTTTACTTAATTTTAAAGCTTGAAACGAATGTCCTTTTATTGTTCCGATAATTTGCTTACAATGAAAAATAGCATGTCGTCAAAATATTGACGCTGGAGCCGAAGAGAAAAGTCAATGGTCTTCCAATGAATTTTATGTTGTTAAATGCAATTGCACCATATGGAGGCTCCGTTATTTGATAATGGGTTTTGTTTTACAGAAGTCGCTGCCAAACCACCACCACGATATCACCCATAACATCTTCAGTCGCTTACGACAAAGCTCTTGACGTCATTGGCGATGACCTAAGCGACCCTCCTGGTGCGATGTTCCAAACTCCTCTTCTCCTGACATTGGTGCTGATGATGACATTTATCTGCTTCGAGGCGTTGTATATGGGTCCCATTAACATGTTCATAGCGTGTCATAGGTGTATATGCTGCGATCCCGAGGTAAGGAGGCACATGCTGGCCAGGCAAGGCGAATAATTGAACTATGTACCTTAGGGGAATGAGGTGTTAAAGGAAGAAAAAAAATCAAGTCGTTCTGCTCGACATGCCTGTAGGTGAAAAACAAAATTATCAACAGAACGCAACTACCTAATAGAGGTGGTGTTTGTGCGTGCCAGCGTGTGTGTGTTTGTGCTTGTATGTTACTAATTTGCAACAGCCAACTCAGTCACCTTCAGTGGCAAATAGGTATATTCATATGTAAAGTGTGTATGTAACAAAAGGTATAGATATTATGCAAAATTACCGCTGCAATGTTACCTTTCTCTACCAAAAATCTTCTAAATATCCATTTTGTTGATAGTGGTGCTGTTTTAACGGCCAAGACGATTTATTTGTTATTATTATTATTATTTTTTTATTTCAGACTATCCCTTACCTTGGTCACAGGGAAGAATCATCCAGCGCACATGTCACATGAGCTGACTAGATCCAATCCACCTTATTGTACCTTTGCCATTTATCTTCATGCGGCCAAGCGAACTTTTTTTACCTCAATTCGGAATAAGTGTGTGAGAACTGTTTTTTATTCATACACTGTGTCATATGTCCAATTGGTTAAGTACATGTATCAAAAGGATAACAAAGCCAGTTAACCAATTTGAATCTCAAACAAAATCCTCATAAATTGGATTTTTATTTATTTTCTGTACCATGGATAGTGCACGTATACAACTTTACCCTTGGTGCAGTACGCCCCAGTTTTGTTGAGATATCCCTGTACATAACTGCACACTATTATTATTCACATTTTTTAAGCTTGCTCTACATTTAAGACGGTTAACATTTGTAACTAGTTTGGAGAAAATATCGAGATTGTCAAACAATAAATAATGTCTAATAATCTTATATCCGAGGGTTTTATCTTCATTTTTTCTACATAAAACACACACACACACACACACACACACACACACACACACACACACACACATGCATGATAAGATGGCATGTCTACCGATTTGTGCAATATTCATAGTCAACAATGTACAGCGGCACTCACGGTACTAGATATGCCGATTTAAGTTTGAAACATCCGAAAGACTTCGCTACACGTCTCATTCCTGCTGAGATGAAAGTTGATTGTGTTAGCTGCGACAAGGTTCCACAACTGTCCTTTCCATTCATGTTATGATCACCATCACATTATGATCTGTTTTGTTTGGTTTCTGCACGGGATATTGCACTCAGTTTCTGTCCTTTTGCATTTTTTGTTTTTCAGTTTTTTTTTCAATTAAGTCAAGTTTATTTTACCGGCGACACACTTTAGTAGGTCAATTAGTGGACTTGACCTTTCTTCCGACTTTGTGAAAATGAGTGCAATGCTTTACAAGGGCTACATGTAGATCGTATTGTTTGTAATTGTAGCAAAGAAAAGTTATAACGGAATTTTATATTCCCTGAAGGACAAATAAATCCGCACGTCAGTGGTGTAAGGAAAAAACGCGGAAGTGAAACGTGGTAAATTTATTGGAAGTGGGCCACTGAACTTTGCAACGGAATGTAACGCAATGGTGGGTAATAATTGACTTTTATGCGTGTCTTTATTGTCTTAACTACACTACTTCACACGAGTGACTCTGACCTCTTTATCTTGAGATAAAAAGAGATCCAAGTTGCGGAACAGAGGGAAATAATATGTTACAGTTGGCATACGTAGCTATTGTATCGCACTCGGGTTGACGTTTTAACTTTTTACTTGTAAACCATTTTGTATTTGTAGTAGAAAAGCTAGAGACTATCTGGAAAAGAGGAAAAAGGTAAGATGTAATATTCGTTATTTCGTCAAACTCAGAAGATACAAGATTCTTCCAGCGATCTTATAACCGTTATCTTAAGGTCTCTTTGCATCATAACTCCTGTTTACGTCTGTACTGGCTATATGAAATCAGTAGTTATGATATCCCGTGGGGTGCTCTGTACACTTATGGAATTTATTTATTCGCTTTGTTTTATTCCACAGCTATTTGCATTTAACATTGTAAAGATACATCCTCCAGTCGTATAACATGAACATAGTTTTAAAAAATTGATCTGTACTTGTATATTATTACAATTAAAGACGACGTGTCTTACTCTCAGTAGAGCGGTCGAACTCTCCACGAGGTAGAAGGACGTCCTCCACTATAAACGTTTAATTCCAGTAACAGATAAAACAATAAGTCTACTCACATTTGTTTTACGTTTTCGGCCTTTTTTTCATTAATTTTTCGCGGTGTTTAAACATCACCGTATGAAATACACCATTCATCTAATGCTAGTTAATTTAAAAGATAGGACAAACAGAATTGATAAGATAAGCGGTCGAACTCTCCGCGGTAGACACCACGACGTCCACTATAGAAGTGTAATTCCAGTAACAGATAAAAAATCTTCTCACATTTGGCCTGACGAAATTGAAAAGCTGATTTAGGTGCCGTGCCGACCTTAAGGTATTCGCACATTTTCTTCAGGAAAAAAGGTACATCGGGTATTGGTTTGGTAAGTGGCAGATATTCACAACTGACCCCATGAAAAAACTAAATGTGTTGTTTATCTGCTCTAAAATCGCCCTCATTGTGCCCAGTGGCGGATTTAGAGGGGGGTCAGGGGGGTCCTGCCCACCCCCTTCGGTTTCTGAATAAAAAGTCACATCATATCCCCTTCTTGGAATTATAATTTTGACTAGCTGATTTATAGTACTAAACGGTATTGAATGCCACCGTTTGCCCTCTAAAATTTTTGGGACCCTTCCTCGGGCCGAACCTCACGCCAACTGGGTGGAGGGGGGTTTGGCTTGGCATCAGCCGCCCCCCCCCCCTTTCAAATAATCCTGGATCCGCGCCTGATTGTGCCTTCACATTCCCTCCACCTAAGAAAAATACCGACCCTCTAGCTATAGTACCTGCTATGCTCGTTAAACACTATATGCAGGCCCGTAGCCAGGGGGGTTCGGGGGGTTCGAAAGAACCGCCCCTTTTGCTGGGAAAAGGTCCAGTCTGGGTAAAATTTGATCTAGGTACATGAAGTTTTTAAGGAAAAAGGTCCATTTTTTCAGAAAAAGAACCCCCCTTTTGAAATTGCTGGCTACGGGCCTGATATGTGTTATCAATTTTGTCTGACCCTAATGTAGTGTTTTATTAACTGAAAGACACAGACAAGGAAGTGACTGCGATCAGAGCAGTAATCGAGCCCTGCTGCAATACCTCTTTAATTAAGTCAATAGAAACCTTGAGCAAATTTAAGTGTTGACCGAGAGAAAATATAAAATTTGGGTTTATGGTTGAATGAGTTATTTATGAATCTGTGAACATTATAAAATTATTTTCTTCGTCTGAAAATTAAAATTAAAACAATAATAAATCAAAACGTGCGTTTTAGAACACACTTGACTTAACGGTGTATCTTATGTAAAAAAACAACTGATTTAATAAATTTGCTGAAAATTCTAGAGGGCTGGAGATTAGAAAACGCTGGAAATTTGTTACATGTAAATGTACCTGCTTGTTTATGTTATTCTTATCTCACGACATGACTTTGTTAACATAGCAATGATTAAAACCTACGGCGCTGAGAAATTTCAGAAGACATCAGCTTACAGTAGAAATTTCTGATTTTCAGGAAAAAAAATGGTCGTAAGCGGGGGCGTCATAGCAGGGATAGTAGTTGCCGTACTGGTGGTGATTGGTCTCATGGTGGCATCTTTTCTCTGCGGTCGTTACCAGCTTTGGCGCAAACTGCCATGTCTTCGTAAGAGACGCGATGTTGAAGGTGAACATAATGACGCCTTCGATCCAGAAAGTGTGACAAAAAAAGAAGTAACTCCACCAATGGCTTATGAAGAGGACCGCAATCCCACTCAGTCGATGTACTTGGATTTGCAGGGCAGTTCGCCGCCGCCATCGCCGCTACCACGGTCCAGCAAGAACCTCCAACCGCAGCCAAAGACGGAGGATCAAGATGATGGAGATATATACGAAAACGCGTCAGATTCACTCCCCAGGAGCAAAGAGGGGGCGGATATCCTGCCAGAAACCAGTGGCGACCCTCGAAAAAGTGGTGCCACAGAATCTGGCGTGACCACCTCCCAAGGCGGAAATCCTGGCGACGAAAATCATGAAACTCAAGAAGAGGATGGTGACATTTATTCCGACGACCCAAGCAACAGGCCTCTCAGCGTCAGTGATGCTGAAGGTGATGTTGCACAAGAAGGCGCTGATGATATTTACGACATCCCTAAAAGCTCAGCAATCGAGACACCAGGAACTAAAGAGTCTAAAGAAACAGTACATGACGACGCAATCAACGTTGACGGCCACGTGATCTCCGGTAAAGGGAACGAAGCGCAGTCGAATGGGAAGGACGAAAGCCGACAACTGACAACCGTGGTCGACCCCGAGGATGTCCTCGACATTGCTTGCGCTGAAAAGGAAGAACCCTACCCTGGAAACCTCGAACAGGAGGGAGAAGACGAGCAAAATACGGGCAGCGACACCTATGCTCCAGCGGTTATTGCTCATCCAGCACCGCCTATTGGTGAACGGGACAGTAAAATTAGTGGCTCGTCTGCCCATAAAAATGGGGAAAGCTCCGTGGTGAGGGAAATTCAAGGAGAATCAGATGACTTTTATGAAGACATGACGTTGTCAACGAAAATATGAAAGAAAAACAATTTGCAATTATGATTGTTTGCTCTAAGAATCGCTGGGTGGAGATTGTAAAATACTAATATATTGCCACTAATATCATTTTATATATTTTAGTACGATGCAGTGTATGAGTTTGTTTTCTGCTCGATTGATGAACAATCTTGTTTGCATGTAATATCTTATTATTTACTTAAATATTGTCTAATCTTTCATGACTCAAGATTCAAATGAAACTTCATCAAGGTTTTTGTTGGAGGAGCTTTCGTGGATCAAGCAACTGATTGAAGCTGGTATTATAATTTTTATTTATTTATTTATTTTTTCAAGACTTTGACATTATTAGGAGGTAGCAGCTAGGTTTAGCCTCACAGTTACATTGCTTGTATAATGATATGAGGAAAGAGGTGTGAATTACACATATCTAATTCATATATAAAATATATGACTATAACTTATCATTTGTTTTTGCTATTTTGTTAAGTTTTAAGCGCAGATTGAAAAAGTTTATCTCAATTTGAGAAATTTGAAATATAACCTAGAGAGAAAGAATAAAGCATTTTTTTATAGAAAGCACATCAGTGGAATTCTAATGCAGCGTCTTAATGTCGTAACAGGGGTAAATTAGGTAAATTATTTTCAAGATTTATCAATTTCCTTGAGTTAATGTTGACGAGTCAGAATGTATACAGCTAACAATGATCTCAATCTTTTGATAACTTCAACAGTTGACTGAGTGGTCCAAGATGCTTTAGCATTATCTATTCCTTATTGTTATATTCGATAATCATTGCCTCATTATCTTAAAAGTGTGCTTACTTTACGTGATGATGATAGAAGGTACTCCAGTTGTCAATTATATTTACGTATTATTCGTCATGTTCGTCTTCTTCAACGGGTTAATCAGTGCACATAAATCTAATACCTAGTTTAAGGGTACCCTCTACCAGGGCGACTGATAGATTTTTTATTTTTAGCTCTGCGCGCGGGCAAAGATAATTGCTTTCAGATGGCATTTCTGTACAGGGTGACTTAGAGTTAAAATGACAATCTATCTAGCTAGAGACATATCTGTGAATATCCGTAAAAATCTATCAGTCGCCCTGGTAGAGGGTAGTTTAAGGGACATTTTGGAAAGAATGAATGCAAATTGATGTGAGGTAGCCTTAGCACTGTCTGTTGGTTCACTTTATCAATACCACTGGTGTTAATCAGTATTTATTAAGTATCATACAACAAGTGCCGCGTACAGATTATAAAGGGGTCACGATTACCCTGCTTAAAGAACACGTGGCCTGAATTGATTATTTATCTTTGAACGTCGCCGAATATTTTGGAGGTCGAGTTATATTTTTCTCACAAGCTCCTACTCACTGGAACTTCAACTCAATACAACATTTTAAGAAATTATTATTTTGAAAAAAAATGTGAATAACGATTAATTCAGGTCTCTTATGAGACTATAGTGACATAACACGGAAGGTGATGTGACACAAGGCACGTATGATATATACATGTACATGTAGTTACTATACATGTAAAATAGAGGGTCATATGAGGGGGTAGTGATCACGGTTCACGGGAAATAAAATCATTAAATCATAAATCACAGTAAATATAAACAGTATTTAGTATATATTATTGTTAATACAAGTCAGGCGAGTTAAAATCTCGAATCCCCCAGTATAATGACTTCAATTCACGAAGGACGAGGAATAAAAGTCGCATTCACGAGTCATGGGAATGAGGTGCTTCCCGGATCACGCTGTATAATATGAATTTTTTGCGCCTCTTGGGAAATAAAAAGTGATTTTCACGAGTAACGAAAATACCCAATAGGACCCTGACACTATCTGCAGTTACCGGTAAATAAGTTCAGACGGAAGATATTTATACTAGTTACAATCTAACTAGCCTGATAGGGATATCAGAGGAAATAGAGACAGCGAGGTACTGTACACGGTAGCTCTACCTACGGTATCAGACATTTGTTGGTCAACGGTGAATTTTACAAAATTTGTAGTCCATTCGTTCGATTCAATGGAAATGAAAAGATATAATAATTAAAATCAAGTGGGGATTCGCGGGATTAACGGGAGAGTTGGTTCATAAATAAGGACAGAGTAGCATGTGCGAGTAAAAGCCGACAAAATTGACGTACATATTTTTTCGGGTTGTTTTATCTTAAGCTCTTTCTAAATGCGGTCTATTGAACGACATTGTAAATACACCGAGATTTGCGTGCCACTGGTGTTTTACTATGCAAAACAAACATCATCGAGTTGTGCGTAGAGTTTCACCTAACGACTAGTTAGTCTGCATTCAGAACAGCGGACTAACTAGTCCACGGATCAAACATGACCGACCTACTTGAATGCTTGTTGCATAATCCTTGCGGGGTATCTATTCAGGGTCCATAAGGGTATTAGAGGACAAGCTTTAAAATGGGTGGCCATTTTTGATCCGGGGTTCTGAAGGCAGTCGAAGATTCCAGGTGATCCACGAACTAACCAGGTAATATGCGAACTTACCAGTCCAAGGTACAAATATGCCGCCCACTGGTAAACCAGTCGTATAATCCCCTAACAATAATGTAACGGTTACTCCGCCTCCGCACGCGCTGTCCGAGCAGTGGGGGAACTATTGAGCCTCGAATTGATTGCAATTGGGCCGCGCCATATTTGATCCACGGACTAGTTGATTCGCGGATCAAGTGGTTGTGAATGCTCTCTTAGAAAAGATGGAAGTTTGACTGAACGCTTCAACTTCAAACTAAATGACCCATAATATTAAAATGAGTTTTCAAATGCAAACAAAACGATTAACTAATACACGAAAAAAAGAAAACGATAGAAAAATATTTGGCAATATACCAACTAACTTATCATTTACTATTTATCAGTATTTATAACACTGAGTGCCATAGAGAGATTAAGAAGTGGTCTCAATGAACCCGTTTAAAGGAGGAATTAGATTTCATCTTAAAGAAAGATTATCATTATCACGCAAGCGACTAAAGCTTATGAAGACAAAGTATTTAAGTTGTGTGACGCATGTAAGTTAGAAATATTAACAGGACATGTATGTACAGTGTATGCTACGCGTGATAATGAATTATTGAGAAACAATGTAAGAAGAAGGTTGTAATTAAAGATAAGAATTTGCGTCGCTGGATGGTTAACAATCTGTTTCATTTATCAATAATTAACCACCAACAAACAAATATAAGAGTACATGAGGCAAAAAGCAGTTACCAAGTACAAAACACAAGTTACAAAGTAAAATGATAATATCTGACCTGATAAATGAAGCTATATGGTAAACGTGTGTAATCTAGTGTACATGGTTTATTTATCTAGCAAACAACCGACGGATTTGGCTATCATATACAGATGCTTGTGGAATACGTGACAGAAGGCAACACACATACAGTTGCTTCTATATACTGATGTCCTGATCTTAACAGCTCGGTAAGTAGTATAGTTACATTTTTCGTTCATATGCTGAATATATTACTTATTTATCTCAATAGAAAGCGTAACAGGTGTTTGGTAAAACAAGTGATTGCTGGGTTTCATTTTGTTTCACTTTCCAATAGTTTCACTTATCAGTGTACAGAAGGTAATGAAGAACAATGGCGGGCAAAGACATAACTGCTGTCTTTGCAAAGGCAGTTCTTCCGTACAACCACTGCAATTGAACTGGCAATTAAGAGTGCATCAATTGCTCATTCTTCAACATACAAACTGATCATTCTTTAACATACAAACTTTACAAGCCTGTCAAGCACAAAAAAATTACTGGTGTTCTTTAAGTAATATATTTTGCACTACTTGAAATTAATGACAAAGTAGGCGAATTGTCTAGAGAATCTGATTAAGGCTTTAAATTTTGAATCTTATACATCAAGCACATGTCAACGTTTTATCCTGTCCTACGTGATGTACAATCGTGTTGTTTCTTACAACGAATTACTAAAGATTTATCATGTAAATGTTTGTAACTTTTTCCCAAAACCTGCTTAATCCTGACCTGCTGATCCACCTACTAAATCAACTATATTTGTTGAAAGCACTGTGCCTTTCAAGCCCTCTGTGCGCTCTCTATAGGCCTGTCTAGGTCTGTCTGTCTAGCGTATGTACTAAGTTCATCTTGATAAAAATTATTGCCTTTCCATTTAAATTACATGTAGCAGACTGTGCCAAAATCATAAAAAAGAAATTATAGGACACAAATTATGCATTATTTTTATTGTTAAGAAGTTTGAATACCATCGCAAAAGAATGTAATGTGAATTTTTTTAAATCCACTTCGTGAAATGAATATTGGCCCATGCACCCATTTTAAATGTTTTTAACTAGCATCACTCAGAGTTGTTCTTTTAGGACAAATATGTTTGAAACTGTGTCAGGCATACGTTCTTACCTTTTCTTACTGTAGTATTATCATTTGTACTACAGCCATCACCACTAATAATTCTACCAGTAGTACCGGTATTACTACATGAACTACACTGTACTAATACATATATTACTCTCTGTGTTTGATGGCATGCTAGTTAGTAGCTTTAAATATTGTTGTCCTTGTCCGTTTCTTTTTCTTGTAGGTGTTGAATACGATGTTTAAGATGACCCTAAATCTGAAATGTTGTTTATAGCAACCAGCTTATATCTATAATTATTTGTGTGGATATTTTGATATTTCTATTTCTTAATTTAAGGTAACAAAATGGTTCCAGGAGGTCTACTTCTTTTCTGTGCAAGTTTGCTTGTCGCTGCACCCTCGATATGCCAAGGAGCATGTTCCATCAATTCTTACTGCTCAGACTGTGCCAATTATACTGAAGAAGGACATACAAAATGGAGATTCTATTGCAACCCTTACAGCGGATACTATATAGATCCTTCACACTTTACGGTTACTAACGATACGGTTGAATTATTTCAAGTCAAATATTTTTCGTCAAGTTCTAAACTTAGCATCTACAGTGGAGCTTTCCGATATATCCCTAATATCGTACATGCAGACATAAGGAACACGCGAAGCACCAATCCTTCTATAAGTTCAAGAGCTTTCTATTACGGTGTACAGAACAGCCTGCGAGCTTTGTTGTTCCGGAGCTCCTACCTTACCACCGTCCCCTCTGCCTTGACACATCTAACGGCTTTACAGGAGCTGGATCTTGGAGGAAACAGAATAACTGGTGACCCATATAACTATCTAAGTTACCTGACATCGCTCCAGTCGCTGTGGCTTGACAACAACCGTCTATTGAGTAGTGTCCCAGCATCGTTAGAGCGCCTACCCAATCTCCGGAAATTGTCACTCGCAAGCTGCTATTTAAACCGGAGTTCTCTAACGTCATTCCGCCAGCTACCCAGGTCCTTAGAGTGGCTGAACGTTTATAATAATTACCAACTTGCTGAAGTACCTTCTGGCATTGGCTTGCTTCGAAACTTGACCTATCTAAACATGAGATACTGTAATCTGAACTCTCTGCCGGTCAATGTCTTCGCCAATTTGAACAAGCTGGAGGTCCTAGATCTTAGTCAAAACCCCAGTATTACTTCATATCTTGATGCTCTTGCCAATCAAAAGTCGTTGAAAGTTCTTAGTCTTTCCAACATGGGTTCTTCTTTAACAGACATACCTAGTGCAATATCTGGCATGGAAAAGATGGAAGAACTTGACTTAAACAATAATAGAATACGAGGAGTAAATCATAACCATTTTGCTAAAATGGTACAGTTAAGGAAACTCAATCTGGCCAACAATAAAATAACTTCTCTTGACCCGCTGTCATTCCAATATTGTGTCCAGCTGGAAGAACTGGAATTTAGTTATAACCTGATACAGGAAGTCAACCCAATCCATTTTGTTGCACAGGTACGGTTGAGAAAGATCAATCTGAGTTACAATAGGATCCACTCCCTTGGTCCACGGTTGTTTCAAAATTGCAAAAACTTGAAGTATGTTGACTTTTCGAACAACTTAATCACCAAAATGGATCAAAATGTATTTATCGGTCCGTCACAATCCCTGAGGTATGTCGACCTGCGCAATAATAAATGTGACACGTTTCACAAGTGTATAGTTGCAAAACTAGAGCAATTTCAAACATTCTACTTCTCCACCGCATTTTTTAATTGCGATTGCCGTTTAGCCTGGGTCCGACAAATTACCAACCAATACGGTTCCAGGGTATCTGTCAGTGGAGCGTGCTATCGCCCAAGGGAGCTTTACAGTGAGCCAGTGTCCTCATATCCGCTAAATGGTTGCACACCTGACGACGAAAGTTTTGAAAGTTGCAACATTGCCTCGACCACGAACAACCCCGATACAGAGATGGAACCCACGCCTACTAGCAAGGCTTTGTACCACTCGCTCGTCAATTCAGCCCAAAAATCAAGTCTGAATAAAGACCTCCGAAGCGTTCAAACTATCACGACTGTGTCTGTATCTGTCGCCGTTATCGCCATTGTGGCATTCCTCGCTACTCTCGTAGTATTGTTGACATGCTTCTTCAGGCAACGAAACCAAGTGAGCAGGAGGAGCCAGGATCACGTCAATCAAGGTCTCCAGCTATCGGAGGGGGTCCAGGGTGAACGGTCACCTGAAGGTCAATGTTCTGGAGAAAACTTGTATCAGAACACGGATGGGATGGTTAGCAGCGCCCCCAGTGGCGCCTATGAGCCTCTGAGGAAAGATGGGCAGGGTTTGACACAACATAGAGGCCATTACGCCTCCTCTCCTGTAGTTCATAAGTAAAGAGTAAAATATTCCACCTTGTTTGCATTGTGCTATTTTATGTCTCTTTTAGTAAATATTTACAATGCAATTTGTTTTTAGGAGTGAACCAACAGTTACCCAGTTCGTAGTAATTTTCTGATTTATTTAATATTTAATTAATCAGATCTTGTGATAATATGCACATCAGGATTTATTAGGCTTGTAAATTCATATAGGAACAACCCTATTAATATCTACTGTGTGTCAATATTGTCAGATCACGGATGTGCCAATGCTCAGTAGTGTAAAACCCGCACTTGCTCACTGCATTCGCACCAATACTGTGGAGCATACACTCTTGATAAAGGACAAGTAATATTCCAAAAGAATGCCAGTGCTTTCCTTGTAATATCCCCATTCATATTTACTGGATAGAATTGGTTTGTAACGTCAGCATCAAATACTTAAACTTTTTTTGTCACAAAGTGTATATAACCGCCGATAGGTATTATGCAGGGAATGACCTTCATGTACAGGGTATTATTCAGCGAGTGACCTTCACCTCCGTACCTTGAAAGATTGTTTAATAGTCCTATGTATAGTCAAAAGTAAACTCAGATACGGCGATGTTGTTTGAAATATTGTCACTGTGCTTTAGTAAAATCGACTGCATTTTTGTAGTTACGAAAGAGTCCATTCTTATAACAACTATGTGCTTGTCAGCACTTCAGCAGAGGTGAATAAAGGAACGCAGAATAGAGCCGACAGTTAAACACTCTGCTAGTGCCCTCTTACTCACTGGAACAACACAATACAAATTTTGAAGAAAGAATCATTTTGAAAAAATGTGATTACGGATTAATTCATAAGAGGCTATAGTGAAATTTAACACGGACGGCGATGTGACACATGTCATTTAGGAATTCAACATAAAAACCTCCGTAAGAGTATTTTGTTCTCTATTGTGCACGGGAAATGTCTCGTTGTGAATATAAACGCGAAATATTGTGATGATTTTGTACTTAGGCCCTACATATTGTAAATAGAGTGGAGAAGCTAATTGTGATTATCTTTACCTGCTTGTAGTCTTTCCTGGTTATTTACGATTTGAAACCAAAAAATGATCAATTATTTGTGTTCACGTTCCTTTGATACATCAATCGACGGACGTGGAATGGTGTATAAAATGCATATTATTATTATTATTATTATTATTATTATTATTATTATAAAATTATGTCGAATAGATGACAAAGGCATGTTCTTCTAATTCCAATTTTCCGAAAATATTGCAACATACATTAATGAAATGAAAATATTTATGCTTCATGTTGCTTATTGCATCAGAAGGAAGTACCAGCTTTGTAAATAACGTCGTGGGTATTAAACTTTGAATTATTTTAAAATCCAAAATCGGCGTTTAAAAAGATAACAGGATTACAAAATCCTACACGTGGCGTTATTTTGGAAGTTATAGACTACATGTTCCATACCCTTTTTCTGAATATTTATTCGTCTAGCACTGGACGCAGAAATCTTCCCTGAAAACTTCCACAGGAAGCGACCCCTTTGCTCCGGCGAATATTGCTTTACCAGCGCCGCCTATTGTTGATCGGGACAGTGCTAGACTGACCGTGAACACGGTGAGGTGCACTGTTTTTTTTTTTTTTTTTTTTCTTTTCTCAATTAATGAGTGCCGCGTACAGATTATGAAGTGATCACGATTACCCTGCTTAAAAACACGTACATTGAACTGTTTATTATTTATATTTGAACGTTACCGAATACTTTGGAGTACGAGTTATATTTTACTCACAAGCTCTTACTCACTGGAACTTCAACCCAATACAAATTTTGAAGAAAGAATCATTTTGAAAAAATGTGATTACGGATTTATTCATAAGAGGCTAAGAGTGACATTTAACACGGACGGCGATGTGACACATGCCACGTATAATATGTACATGTAGCTACTATACATGTACACTAGAGGGGCACATGAGGGGTAGTGACCTCGATTCACGGGAAACAAAATCATTAAATAAAAAAATCACAGTAAAAAAAAAATTCATATGTCATTGGTGGTGCAAGTCCGGCGAGTTAAAATCACGAATCCCTGAGTATAATGACTTCAATTCAAGGAGGACGAGGAATAAAAGCCGCATTCACGAGTCATGGAAATGGTGTGCTTCGCGGATCACGTTTTATAATATGAACTTTTCGCGCCTCTTGGGAAATAAAAAAATACTCCACGAGTAACGAAACAATGGGACCCCGACACTATCTGCAGGTATCGGTAAATGAGTTCAGACGGAAGATATTTATACTATTTACAATATAACTAGCCTGATAGGGATATCAGAGGAAATAGAAACAGCGAGGTACTGTACACGGTAGCCCTACCTACCAGACCATTTGTTGGTCAACGGTGAACTTTTACAAAAAGTGTAGTCCATTCGTTCGATTCAATGGAATTGAAAAGATATAATAATAAAAATTAAGTGGGGTTTCGCAGGATTAACGGGAAAGTTGGTTCATAAATAAGGGCAGACTAGCAAGTGCTAAGTGGCAACGAGTAAAAGCCGACAAAATTAACGTACATATTTTTTCGGGTTGTTTTATCTTAAGCTCTTTCTAAATGCGGGCTATTGAACGACATTGTAAATACACCGAGATTTGGGTGCCACTGGTGTTTTTCTATGCAAAACAAACATCATCGAGTTGTGCATAGAGTTTCACCTAACGACTAGTTAGTCTGCATTCAGAACAGCGGGCTAACTAGTCCGCGGATCAAATATGACCGACCTACTTGAATGCTTGTTGCATAATTCTTGCGGGGAATCTATTCAGTGTCCATAAGGGTATTAGAGGACAAGCTTTTAAATGGGTGGCCATTTTTGATTCGGGGTTCTGAAAGAAGGCGAAGATTCCAGGTGATTCACTAACTAACCAGGTGATTCGCGAACTAACCAGTCCAAGGATCAAATATGCTACTCACTGGAAAACCAGTCGTATAATCCCCTAACAATAATGTAACGGATGCTCCGCCTCCCACACACGCTGTCTGGACAGTGGAGGAACTATTGAACCTCGAATTGCTTTCCATTGGGCCGCGCCATATTTGATCCACGGAATAGTTAATTCGCTAATCAAGTGATTGTGAATTCTCTTTAAGAAATGATGGAAGTTTGGCTGAACGCTTCAACTTCAAACAAAATGACCCATAATAAAAAAATGAATTTTCAAATTCAAACTAAACGATTAACGAATACACGAAAAAAAAGATTGCCATACACTTGGCAATATACCAACTAACTTATCATTTACTATTTATCAGTATTTATAACACTGAGTGCCGTAGAAAGATAAACAAGGGGCCTTAATGATTTCTTCTTAAAAAAAGATTATTATTATCACGCAAGCGACTAAAGCTTATGAAGGCAAAGCATTAAGTTGTGTGACACATGTAAGTTAGAAACATTCACAACACATGTGGACAGCGTATGCTACGCGTGATAATGAATTATTGAGAAACAATGTAAGAAGAAGGTTGTAATTAAAGAATTTGCTTAGTTGGATGACAGACAATCTGTTTCATGTATCAATAATTAACCACAAACAAACAAATATAAGTGTACCTGAGGCAAGTAGCAGTTACCAAGTACAAAACACGAGTTGCAAAGTAAAATGATATTATCTGACCTGATAAATGAAGCTATACGGTAAACGTGTGTAATCTAGTGTACATGGTTTATTTATCTAGCAAACAACCGACGGACTCGGTTATCATATACAGAGGCTTGTGGAATACGTGACTGAAGGCAACACACATAAAGTTGCTTTTATATACTGATGTCCTGATCTTAATAACTTGGTAAGTAGTATAGGTTCATTTTTAGTGAAATATATTGCTTTGTTGAATATATTACTTTCTTATCTCAATAGAAAGGGCCACAGGTGTTTGGTAAAACAGTTGATTGCTGGGTGTCATTTAGTTACACTTTCAAATAGTTTCACTTATCAGTGTACAGAAGGTAATGAAGAACAATACCGATCATAGACACAACACTTCATCCTATTCTACGTGACATATTCATCATAGACATAATACTTCATCCTATTCTACGTGATGTGTAATATTGTTGTTTCTTTTAACAAATTAGTCAAGATTTATCATGTAAATGTTTGTAATCTTTTCCAAGAGCCTGCTTAATATCAAGGAGGTATAACTCCTTGTTAATACTGACCTACTGATCCATCTACTACGGTACATCTTGTGTGTCTAGCGCTTGCATACAGGGATTTATCGTTTAAATCACTGGGCATTTCAAGCTTCTATGTGCTTTTTATAGACCTGTCTAGCGTAAGTTCTAAGTTCATCTTGATAAAAATTAAATAAACGATTGCCTTCTCGTATAAATTAGGAGCGTCAGTCATTTGCTGTGTTAATTTATCAGAGTTTTTAATGATTTAAGATATTGTGTGTGTCGTACTGAGGTTATAAGGGAAAGTGTCACAAAATACACTAAATACAAAAGCGGGATTTTAGCATACAATGTAACAACAATTCTATGATCATACTGTTTATCTGTTTGGGCTCTTATATCTCAAAATTAAGCTACCTCTGAACGAATCACATACAATAAAAGGTCATCAACTTTAAATAAATAGGTCATAAAGACGGTACCAAAATCATAAAAAGAGAATATATAGGGCACAAATCATGCATTACTTTCATTAGTAAAAAGTTTGAATGCCAGCACAAAAGAATATAATGTGGAATATTTTTAATCCACTTCCTGGAATAAATAATGGCCCCTCGCATTTTACACGTTTTCACAAACATCGCTCATGTCCTTACTTTTAGAAAATAAGTATTATCGTTTGTACTACATCCATCACTACCAATATTACTTCCTCTAGTAGTATTAATACAGGTACTACTAGTATATACTTCTCTCTATATTTGATGACATTCTAATTATTAACTTTTAATGTTGCTGTCCTTGTCCATTCCTTTTACTGGGAGGTCTTAAATGGAATGTTTCAGATCACCTAAAAACTGAAATGTTGTTTAAAGAAAATATCTAATATCTTATCACCTCTTGAACTTTGAATTGTGTTTTTATGATGATATTGTGATATTTTTCATCTCCCACTTCAGGGTAACAGAATGGTCCCCGGAGGTCTCTTTCTTTTCTGTGCAAGTTTGCTTGTCGCTACACCCTCAATATGCCAAGGTGCCTGTTCCATCAATTCTTACTGCTCAGACTGTACCAATTTTACTGAGGAAGGACAAACAAAATGGAGATTCTACTGCGACCCTTACAGTGGATATTATATATATCCTTCCCACTTTACGGTTACCAACGATACGGTTGAATTATTTCAAGTCAAACAATTTTCATCGAGTTCTACGCCTACTATACGCAGTGGCGCTTTCCGAAATATCCCTAATACCTTACGTGTAGACATTAGGAACACGCGAAGCACCAGTCCTTCTGTGCATTCATTGGCTTTCTATTACGGTGTACAGAATAGCCTGCAAACTTTGCTATTTCGGAGCTCCTACCTCAACGCCGTCCCCTCAGCCTTAGAATATCTAACGTCTCTACAGGAGCTGGACCTTGGAGGCAATAGAATAAGTGGTGACCCATCAAACTATCTTAGTTACCTGACATCACTCCAGTCGCTAACGCTTGACAACAACCGCCTATATAGCAGTATCCCAGCATCCTTGGAGCATCTACCCAATCTCCAGAAATTGTCAGTCGCAAGCTGCTACCTAAACCGGAGTTCTGTGACGTCATTCGGCAAGCTTCCCAGGTCCTTAGAGTGGCTGAACCTTTACAACAATTACCAACTTTATGAAGTGCCTTCGGGTATTGGCTTGCTTCGGAATCTGACCTATCTAAACATGAGATACTGTAATCTGAACTCTCTGCCGGTCAACGTCTTCGCTAATTTGAACAAACTGGAGATCCTAGATCTTAGTCAAAACCCCAGTATTACTTCATATCTTGATGTTCTTGTCAATCAAAAGTCGTTGAAAGTTCTTAGACTTTCCTACATGGGTTCTTCTTTAACAGACATACCTAATGCAATATCTGACATGGAAAAGATGGAAGAACTTGACTTAAAGAATAATAGAATACGAGGAGTAAATCAAATCCATTTTGCTAAAATGGTACAGTTAAGGAAACTCAACCTGGCCAACAATAAAATAACTTCTCTTGATCCGCTGTCATTCCACTATTGTGACCAGTTGGAAGAACTGGACCTTAGTAATAACCTGATACAGGAAGTCAACCCAATCCATTTTGTTACACAGGTACGGTTGAGAAAGATCAATCTGAGTTACAATAGGATCCACTCCCTTGGTCCACGGTTGTTTCAAAGCTGTCAAAATTTGAAGTATGTTGACTTTTCGAACAATTTGATCACCACAATTGATCAGAATGTATTTATCGGTCCGTCACAGTCTTTGAGGTTTATCGACTTAAGCAATAATAAATATGACACGTTTCACAGGTGCATTGTTGCAAAACTACAGCAATTTCAATCATTCTACTTCTCCACCGATTATTTTACTTGTGATTGCCGTTTAGCCTGGATCCGACAGCTTTCTTACCAATACGGTTCCAGGGTATCTTTCAGTGGGTCTTGTTATCAACCAAGAGAGCTATACGACCAGACACTGTCGTCATATCCGCTAGATGGTTGTTCACCTGAAGACGAAAGTTTTGAAAGCTGCAGCATTGTAACAACAACTCCTCCCGATACAAAGACGGAACCCACGCCTGCTAGTAAAACTTTGAATTCGGCCCAACTATCCAGTCTCCAAAAGGACCTCAGCAACGTTCAAACTATCACAACTGTGTCGGTATCTGTCGCCGTTGCCGCCCTCCTGGCATTTGTCGCTACTATCGCTATGTTGCTGACATGCTTCTTCAAGCGTCGAAACCGAGTGCCCTCAAACGGGAGGAGCCAGGGTCACGTCAATCAAGGTCTCCAGCTATCGGAAGGGGTCCAGAGTGAAAGGTCTCCTGAATGTCAAAGTTCTGGAGATAATTTGTATCAGAACACGGATGGGATGGCCAGCAGCGCCCCCAGTGGCGCCTATGAACCTCTCAGAAAAGATGGGCGGGGTTTGACACAGCATAGGGGCCATTACGCCTCCTCCCCTGTAGTTCATAAGTAAAGAGTAGAATATTCCACCTTGTTTGCCTTGTGCTATTTTATATCTGTTTTATTAAACATTTACAATGCAATTTGTTTTTTAGAAGCGAACGAACAGTTACCCAGTTCGTAGTGTTTTTCTGATATATTAATTTTTGAATTAATCAAATCATGTAGAAATATGCTCAGCAGGATTTATTAAGTTTGTAATTTCATATGGGAACAACTTTTAAATATCTACTGTATATTAATATTGTCATATCATGGATGGGCCAATGCTCAAAAATGTTTTAGTGTATAACCTGACACATGCACTGTATGCGCACTAATGCTTTGGAGTATACACTCCTGATAAAGGACAAATTATGTTCCAATAGAATACCATAGCTTTCAATGTGCTATTCCCGTTCATATTTACCAGACAGGTATAATTTGTTACGTCAGCATTAAATATTTTAACTGGATCTCTTTTTTATTTAATTTATTTTTATTTATTTAATTTTTTTTGTTGTTGTTAAAATCTGTCACAAAGTGTTTGCAACTCTTACCACCTATAGGAACATGTATTATTCAGGGAATGACCTTCACCTCCGTACCTTGAAAGTGTTTTTATAGTCCTATGTATAGTCCAAAGTAAACAAAGATACGTCGATCTTGTTTGTAATATTGGCACTGTGCTTTAGTAAAAACGACTGCACTTTTATAGTCACGAAAGAGTCCACACTTATTACAAGAATGTGCTTGTCAGCACTTCAGCAGAGGTGAATTAAGGAACGCGGAATACAGCCGTCAGTTAAACACTCTGCTAGCCCCATAGAGCCCGTCACCGCATATGTGCGGTTCAATTATCGCTTACCCCAAAAGCCCAGAACCGCATATGTGCGTATCTTGGAAAGATCGTCTTCTGTACTCTTTTGTATCGTGAGTCATGAAATGATATATAGTTTAACATCCGGGTATATTTCTTGTCTCTCATTGCCACCATTTTTTAAGGCGATAGACATATATATGAGCGAGAAAACGGCGATTTTCAAGACTTAGTTGGGGAAAATGAAATCAAGATGGCGGCTCCTCTCTACGGTAGGGACATGCGAAGGGATACTGTTATTGAAATGATTGAAAACCCGGACTTTGATGAGAAGTTTTCGTGTGACAGTGACATAGACAGTGACGATGATATTCATTTATTTATGATATAAAGGACGATAGAAATATATATGAGCGAGAAATCGGCGATTTTCTAGACTTAGCTGGAGAAAGAAAAATCAAAATGGCGACTTCTTAAATAAGTACACTGTACTATTTGTCTTTAAGCGTTTATTGGTCCAACTTGACAATGATCGCTATCTGAAACGGAAGATAAATTACATAAGTCTACATAAATAATAATCCTATACTTCTCCCCCCAAGTCTTTAGGTTCACTGATAACCAAAGTCAGTAGAAAGACTGAAATGTTTCAATGATCCATGAGAGGTCACTAGTGTTTGAAAACAAGTAAACTACAAAGTAACAGTTAAACTGAATATGCAAATGACAACAGGAACAGCAAACATTGGTGTGCAACTACACAGGAGTTCAAATGTTTATGACAGTTCATAGTCTTTTTGCCAAGCTGGGGGTCGAGTGGCACGAGTGGAGCGTCTAGGTTAATCCATGGTAAGAGGCTGGGACATTCCAGGTTGACTATCCACTGTCCTGGGGCGTGGAGTGGTGCAAACACGTGTGCTAACACTGACTGGCCTAGGTGGTGATGCATTCCCCAAAGGTAAAAGACGGCGCTTTGGGGTGACGGTCCCTTTGGATGGCGTATCTGTGGCGGGTGAGGGTGTGTTGAACAGTTGAGGAACGGGTGGCGCAGTCAATGACGGCGGGGTTTCACACTGCGTTTGTGTGTCATGAGACTGTGTGGTAGCCTTGGCCTTAGGTGTTGCAGGTAGGCCAGGGATTTCTTCCTTGCGTTCCTCCTGATCAGTGGCAACCTTGGCAGGGAGTGTTGGAACAGAGCCAGGGATTTCCTTCCTTGTCTCCTGATCAGCTGCAAGTTTGGCAAGTGGTGGAGTAGCATGTGGAAGCTGAAGATCACGGTCTATGGTCTGGATTGGTGTGGGTTGCAGGACAGGTGTGTAACGCCGGAGGAATTTCCTGTTCCGTAATGTAACTCGTCCCGAGCCATCTACTCTCACAACATACTGATCGAACTGCCGTACTTCAACTACGGTCCCAGTCTTGTCCCATTTCAGGGGGTGAGGGCCTGTCTGGTTCTGGATTCGGACACGATCCCCTACTGCAAGGGGTACAAGTCTCTTGGTGTGCTCCGTAAGGCGTTCTGCCATCTTCATATGGCGATTTCTGAGTGCTTCCTCCCTAGCCTTAAGGGTCTCTTGCCAAGTGGTGTGTGGTTTATATCTTCCCGGTGGAATGGGGATGAAATCACGGATGGGGTGCCCGAAGACGCACATTGCCTGTGAGAGTTTGGTGTCTCTGTCTGGGGTGTTCCTGTACTGAAGCATAGCACGCTGAAAGCTGTCCGTGTCCAGGTCACCATTGGGGCTGGTATTGTCTGTGATGAGGCGTTTTACTGTGTTAACCCCAACTTCAGCACGACAGTTACTATGGGGAAAGGCTACTGATGACATACGATGATGTACACCCCAATCAGAAAGAAACTTCTTGGTGGCAGTTGATGTGAACTCCGGTCCCCCATCTGAGGATAGCTCATCGGCTATGCCAAAGGTGACAAATGTCCGTCGAAGAGAAGCTATCAGGCCAGCCGCTCCTTGGGATGCCCTCTCCACAATCGGCCAGTTGGAATACCGATCAATGATGACAAGGTAGTTATTACCCATGTAGTGGAAGTAGTCAGCACAGATGCACTGGAATGGGTAGTCAGGATATATCAATGGTGTCGGAGGGGCACTCGGTTGGGAGGGGGTCATGTGGTTGCAGTGGTTACAACCTGTTCTGATGGATATTATTTCGGGTGTAATGCCAGGCCAGAAGACTGAGGACTCGGCTCTGGTTATCATAGAAGAGATCCCCTGATGGGCACTGTGCAATGTAGAGAGGACGTCTTGCCTTAATGCAGGTGGGATGACTACACGGTCTCTATACAACACAACTCCGTCAATTGTGCTGAGGTCCTCCTTGAACTGATAATACTCGCGAAGCTTGATGGGGAACTCTTGGCGGCTCTCTGGCAGACCTGAGATTATTAAGTCTACTAGCATAGCCATATCTGCATCACTTGTGGTTGCTGTGCGTACTCTGTCCCAGGTCACTGATTTCAAGGTGATGGATGCCAGAGAGGATGTAAGTGCAGAGATCATGTTTTCCTCCATGGGGATGTGATTGGGGGCAGGGGATCTGATTTGAGACAGAGGGTGATGTTGCCTGACAATAGCAACGTCATCAGGGAGTGGGAGCTTATCTGGATCTCCTGTGGGATGACGAGATACGCAATCTGCAGCAAGGTGTTTGACCCCACGTATATGTACCATCTGGAAGCGGTATCTGAGGGTCTTCTCCTTCAAGTTTCTTAGGCGGGGGTTGTTGATATCATCAAGGGACCTGCCGCTAAAGACCTTCAGTAATGGCTTGTGGTCAACTGCAATGATGAGGTCATGACATCCAAGGACAAAGTACATTGTCTTGTTCAAAGCATCAGCAACAGCTAGGGCTTCACCCTCGATGGGGGCATATCGCGATTCAGCAGAGTGGGTGAAACGGCTGCCTACAAGAGTAATCTTCCATCCAGATGGGCAGCAGAATGGTCGGATAGGCTGGCAAGAGCAATGCTTCTGTAGGAGCCAGAACCCAATTCCATTTTTGGACCAGTCAGTTGCAAGGCATGTGGGCCTGGACTTGTCAAATATTTGGACCCCCTCTTCAATTTCCTTGGAGATGACAGCCTTGGATTCTTCGAAGAGACTGTTGAGATCCTCGTCCCATCTGAAGGGAGTTCCAGGTTGAAGAAGACATCTAAAGGGAAGCATTTTGTCTGCCATGCTGAAGGCATATGAAACCTGGTTGACCAAACCAAACCATGATCGCACATCAGTGATGTTTCGAGGGGTGGGAAAGTCCAAGATGGCCTGAAGGTACTTGGAACTGGGTTTGACACTGTCCAGGGTAATGTCAAATCCTGCAAATTCCACCTCATCTTGTGCGAAAACAAATTTCTCTGGGTTCAGGGTGATGCCATGTCTACCACAGATGTCTAACCTCTCTACGGCTTTGAAGAAACTCCCCTCTGTTGAGCTGGACCAAAGTAGGACGTCATCGACACATTTGGTTTTGTTGGTTATGTGCGAGACAATTTCGTCATATCTCCTGGTGTACCCATCACCTGACGCAATGTACCCTTGGGGAGCAACCTTGTATCAGTATCTGCCCCAGGGTGTGATAAACGTTGTGAGATGGCGATCCTCCTCACGAATGGGTACACTGTGGTATCCATTCCAAGCATCCAGAACTGTCTTTTTCTTGCCTTGGGGAACAGCCCTGGCTTGGTGAAAAGGAGAAGGGGTGTGGTGGGTCTCTCATATAGCATGTGCATTCAGAGCCTGTAAATCAACTGTGCGGCGTAGCCTGCCATTGTTCTTCGCACATACAACCATGCGGTGGCACCAGGTGACTGGCTCGCCAATTGGGACTGGTTCGTTGACCCCTAGTCTGACATCTTGGTCAAGTCCTGCTTTCACTTCTTCCTGCCAGTGAAGTGGGACTGGTATTGGAGTGTGATAGGCTACTGGTGTGGCAGAAGGGTCTACCATTAATTTCATTGGCGGGCTGTCCATAAGGGGCAAGGGCTGATGATCGCATGTATTAAACGTACTGGACCTGTAATAGTCCAAAAGGTATTCTTTCAGTCGCCCACGATTCTGTTCCGTCGCAGGGAAAGGCAGCTTGGTTGGAGGCAGGGGAGGTGGTTGACGTTTGGGGCAAGTGCATGTGTGTTGGGCATCGGCACCACGTGCTGTAAGGGTAATGTCAGGGAACACGGATGCACACTGCGACATGTG